AATTTAGGTGACATACTGTTACCGTTCCATGATTGGAATGCGCTGAAGATGCATGTTTGGGGTACATCTATTGACAGAAAAGGTAAACGATGAGATGACCTTCGCTTGACGGAGTTAAAATTCCTTTAGTTTGGTTTGTGAAGTCATAAGGGTATTTTCATTTTAATTGTGCGCTTTTGAGGCTTTCGTGCCAAGCGGATAACCGTCCATTGGAAGTGTATTCATTTTGAACAAGTTTTTAACTGAGATTGAAGACTTATGACATTTAATATCATCACAGAAAATTGTTCATGTTCATTTCAGCACAGCCGAAGATTTTACAATTACTTTCGCTATAAACGTGGGCTCAAGAGAATTAAACCATTATTTTTTCACAATTTATAAAATAAAGCATCAGACTAAGAATTTAGACTTAGAAAAGCGCTCTCAGATGAACCCCTTTTCTAAATAGAAATAGAAACCCCATAAGTAACTGTAGCTGACGTTTCTGTTTGTGGAGTTTGAAGTTATTGTTCTCCTTTATATATAGAATCATACACCTTTTAACTTGAGTCCACATATAGCGTAAACTATAATGTTTAAATGTAAAAATATCAGTAATACTTGAAATGTAAAATTGCATTTTTAATCCGTAACATTATTTTAAAATCTCTCCCTCTTGCAGAACATTCTGCTGTACATTACATGAAAAAACGCATCGTCAGCAGTCCATGCATAATGTTAATGGAATAATCAAGTGAGCAGAAAGTCTTTTTGGATTGGGTCTAGATACACTATACTGTTACTCCTAATATTTAATTGTACAACTGCAAGACCTAACTAACATCAATAGATTTTAGTGAAATAGGGTCCTTTTGAAGAATTACCGAGCATTAAAATCTCTTCCAAATGTAGGGAGGAAAGCCTACGATCATGTCTAAGATCAGTCCGATCAGGTAGATAAGGTTTGTTTCGGGGCCTCTAGAAATCGCAGGAAAATAGGTGTAGTGCTGGAAGAAGGTGTTCTCAGCGTATTACATCAATTCTTTTGAGGAAAACTTCTGTTGAAGTGAAAGACAAAGTGTGCTTTAGGCTTTTAGATACCAGACTGTCACAAGCTCCTCTCATAAAACCGAACCCCTCCATCCTGTTTATGTCTAGTGTAGCTGCAGTACCATTGCTGTACCATTGCTGGTTTCACAGCAAGGCATCTGGGAGAGCTCCAATTAAAATACCTCAAGTTTCACTGCCCACCGAACAGCAGGGGCATATTAAATGGAAGATCTTGAAAGTTCAAGATGCCACCTCTCTGTTCTGTAATCCTTTTGGTCATCTCTCCTCAGTACTATGATAGCATGTTGGGTTTGTATTCATTAGAGAACTGTTCTTCTGTTGCCCTGCACTAGTTTAGTTTGCTGTTGATGTCAGTGTGATGCTTTATCTTTCACTGGTCGGTTTAGCAGTAATACCCCGTTGCTACAGTGTAAAAATAGCGCCCAAAAAACCCCAGCCTCTGCCACATGGAAACCTTTAGTCATAAAGAAGTTACTTTTTCTTTAGTGTAAATAAAGTGCCATCGTTTTCGATGCTTAATGTTTGTATCGCCCTCTCTTTTTCGGTCTATTGCTCCTGCAAACAAATATATGGGTCCGTTGGTAATTTAGTGCTGGATTCGCAACTGGAGGAAACTAGTGGTCGTCGTTGCTGAATTGTGACCCGTAGCTGAAAGATAAGTTAGAATTCCCTGCTTGAGAATCGAAGCGCTCAGATGGAGATCATTGCTCTGTTAAAGGCCTTGTAGCCTTATGTAGTTCAGTGCGTTTAATGTGTTTTGACGTATGTTTTTATAGTACAAAATGAGAACGAGAGATTAGGCAGGAGAGGCTGCAGCAGGTTTTTTTTTTGTTCTGAAGCCCTAAAGCCCCGAAGTCATTCTGAGATGAACCGTTCCGTTTTAGCGCGGAGGATTTGCTCCCACGTTTCAATGTGAAAACGCCTCCCTAAAAATCCAGCCTTACCAGAACAGGTTTAAAATGAACATCAGCTGGGGGTCTTGAGCACTTTAAAAGCCATATGAGCACTACCCAAAACCCCACACTCCAGCCCTGTGGGAAGAGTGTTGAGAGGCGTTATCCCACACCATCGGGGCATCATCTGCTGGTAGTGAGTGAGATTAGGAACCCCTGAGAGGGGAGCAGCACGGCCAGTCGTGCCCAAACGGTTCACTTCATGAGAAAAGTTATCATGTTATACATCAGTCAGATCTGCAGTCCAGGAAGTTCTAAAGCAGCGGAGGATGTGAAACCCAGAGAGCGAATGGAGAAATAGTTTAGTATTTAATGTACAGTACGTTCACATACATGTTTGGTTTCCAAGTGAGGCTTTTAGCTGCATCGAAGGATTGCCCTCCATGAATGCATTTATAGAAAGGTGTTTCAGCAGAGGCTACAATATGTGTTTTCGTATGGTTCCAGTTTTTAATATTGAGGGTATATTAGTCAAAGGACAAATGAGAAAAGTTCTTCAAGTACCGTCTTATCACAGAAGGCACTCAATCAAGAGAGTGCCGAATGTGATGTCATAATTAGGTGTCTGCTACTGTGTCGTTTCACCAGAGAATCTGTTCCCTTCTGCTGTAAGTGTCAATCATTGTTTTTTCTAAAATCAGCTGCTCTTATTGGATTATTGGAAGTGCTGTTGTCTGAGCCTCTTATTTCTGTTTCTGCTTTTTCCTTCCCCTAAGATTTAGAAGGTTTTCAGTCTTGGTTGACGTCTGTTCCTTTTTTTTTTCTCTTTTTACTTTCCAATCCTTGAAAACAGAATCCACAGTTTGAAAACACTGTACGTGGTCTCAAATCATCTGGGCTAAGCAGAATTGGCACTGTATTATTCTAGGCTGTGATTGTCAATTCTCCTTTTCAAACTTCAGTAACTTGATTCTGAAATGTTGAAACATTTATTTACAAAGTGTTTTTCTTTTTCATGGTTAGATTCATTGAATGTTTAATCACCCTATTTTTTCAATGTATTCTCATATATAAATGACATTACCATACACTGACTGAGCTGTTGTATTCCTAAGGGATCCAGTGTAATGTGTGTGTGCGTAGCAGGGGAAGAGCCAGAGCTCCAGCTGAGAGGTCGAGAAGGGTGCGGTTATACAGTTTAAGTGTGGAAGTGAAGGTCGACCAGGTAGAGAGAGACTGCGGTTCAAGGAGGGCCCTGAGGTTGTCATCCCTCCACTTTTGTGAAACTGCTGTGGGATTTTTAAGACTCGCAGGCGGTCGGGCCCCCAGTTTAACATCTTAACATCTTTAACATCAAACGACAGTATCTCCTCCAGCACGGTAAAACACGGGGACACCGGTTTGAGATTTCCCCCTGGAGAGTGAAATTCCTCTTGCTGGTGTGTCTCCACCCCTTCCTAAGCATCCCTAATGACTCACTGGGTGGTCTGTGGCCAGAATCTCATCCAGTTGCTTCTTTAACAACCTGGACAACATAGTCAGCGTGAGGGAGAGATCTGGGGCTCCTGCCAGCAGCTGGTTTCTCTCGCTGTAACAGGGGACTGCAACGGAGAGCCTCTAGCTCCTGGGGAGCTGGGCTGGTAAAGTGGTCAAGTCTTGGCTGTAGGAAAAAATAGCATCTTTTGCAAGAAATCTCAAACTCTTAGCTATAGGATCTAGAGAACCAAGCAGACCAGCCGGTTGTTGTGTCCCTGAGAGCTTCAGTTCAGTACTTTACTGCCACGGCTCATCGTTTCGTCGAGCTCATGCCTCTGCAATCGAAATATGCAACATAAGGCCGATAACAGACAGCATCCACCCAGCATTTTCACAAACCATCCTCAACATCCTTGCAGACTTGCAGTCTTGCAGACTGAGGTTGAGTCCAAGAGTAGATGGAATCCACTGGGAGCTTAAAAAATAATAAAGTAAAAGAAGACTGAAATAGAGAAAGTGAAATGGCAACAGGCTGAGGGCCTAAATAGGCTGTTTGAGGGGATGTACCATTGGGTGAGTCTGACCTAAACCTGGTATTTACGTCCTGTATTGACCAGGTCCTACAGTAAATGTAGTGTTACCATCAATTTCCCTACGGGATTAATAATGTCTTATCTGGAGAACCTGCCCAGGGAAACTGCCACGATACCAAAATCAAATGCAAAATGCTGCTTTGAATCCTGTGAGATCTGAAGGTGTAGACCTCATCTTTCAGTATTTATGGACAAAGGGCTCTGTTTTTTTCTTTTTGGCCTCACTGTGCCAGTGTCGCGTAGTGCTGGTTTTGTGCATTCCTCCTCTGTGCCGACTTGAGATTTGTGTTTGCACTGGGGTTAGGACAGCTCTGATCCAGCACGGAGCAGCCGCCGATGGGGCCTAACTAGGTTGAAGCAGCGTATTGTGTGTATTGTAGAAGAGACCAGTGTGAATGGGGATTTTTTGCAAGAAATGTTTTCCTCTGTTTCAAGTCCAAAACGCGTCTTCTCGAACTCTGTTCCTAATGCCCATGTTTGCTTGTGACATCTGGGGTTATTTCTCACTGTGGTTTTGATCAATGCCTCTACATTTGAATAACCAGAAGTAAAACTTCTTTCACCTTTGCTGAAGACTAACGAGGTTCACTGTTAAACTGTATGACCATAAACATACGAATTTGAGTTCAAACTTTTGAAGAAGCAGTAAAAGGTCTAAACTTTTTTTTTTTTACGCAGACGTTTGTGCTTTCGGAGAAAGCACAATAAACCTCCTTCCAAAGTAGATTTTTTTTATTCTTCCTTTCCGAGTACTCGGGGGAAGTACAAGGTGCTGAGTTTCTGTGTGACAGGTATGGTTTTCAATAGGAATATGAAGTGTTACTGGGTCAGGAAAAGGTAGCAATTTAAGATCAAATGAGTCGAGCTAGGGAGAGATCTGTTTTCCTGAAGTAATCCAGGGCCGCACGCGTTGTTAGGATCAGAGAAGCTGCAGTTGAGAGTCTTGGCAATACTGAGCTTTTGTCCTCGTTGATGTGTTTCCCAGGATTACCGAGCACTTTACTTCCAAGAGCAGAGCAGCACCGGAGGCGAGGACCCGGATGAATGCGACAGCTTCATGGGCTTGAAGGACCACCTGGACGATGCAGTAGAGGGCTTCCTGGACCTGGGTCTGGAATTGGACTACCTCCATGTGGAAAGCACGCACCGACAGGCTGGCGTGAGCGCCCCCTGGACCCCGCGAGAGCAGCCTGTGATGGACAAGGTGGAGGCGGGGGCCGGGTCTGCGGAGGAGACCTGCAGCAGTTCCCTGGGGGACTCGGAGGACGGCGCCGGCTCGGACAGCGACGCGGAGCAGCTCCGCAGCGCCGGGGAGCCGCCGGGTGGCGGGTCCGCGCACCGAGGCCACCGGCAGCTCTGCCGCTCACCGTGCGTGGAGCCGCTCGCCCGGGGCCCGCCGGATTTATCGCCGGAAAACAAGCCCCCAGACGCGCTCAGGGAGTATCAGACCAAAATGGAGTTTGCGCTCAAGTTGGGGTACGCAGAGGAGCAGGTGCAGCTGGTGCTGAACAAGCTGGGCCCGGAGGCGCTGATCAACGACATCCTGGGGGAGCTCGTGAAGCTGGGGAGTAAGTCCGAGGCGGAGCAGGGGGGCGGTGCGGCCTCCGCGGCCTCCTCCTCCTCGTCGTCCTGTTCTTCCAGCTCGTCGTCCTCCTCCTCCTCCTCTTCCTCTTCTTCCTCCTGCGCGTCGTTATCGCTGGCCGACAGCTCGGACCCGCTGCCCAGCGCGGAGGCGGCGGACGACAACGACAACTTAAGGCCCATCGTCATCGACGGCAGCAACGTGGCCATGAGGTGAGGAGTCCTCCGGACGCCTGCCTGCCTGCGGAAACGAATCCGAGGGGGCCGCGGTGTCGATCGGAACACAGCTCGTCTCCACTTTTGTCCTTTAAAAGTCGTCTCGGTCTTTCCGTTTTTACCTTTAACGCGTTTGAAGGAAACAAGTATCTGTCCCGTTTTAAAATACCCTTGAGCTCGTCAAACATCTCAATTGCAGGCCGACGTGATCAGGCCACTTTTCTGATCTTCGGATTAAGTTGTTTTCAGTGCTAACCAGAAACCGTTCGGAAGTGTTTTGCAAACGTCAGAATTTCCAGGCTTCCTTTTTTTAAGCTGATCATGTTTTTGTGTCATGAGACGAGCTTAGGCAGTAATCAAGGAGTGTGTTTACAACAGGCAAGATTGGAATTTATTTTCTGATGAAAACCAAACGGTTTCAGATCTAAACGTGTGTGGTAACGTGTACCTTAGAGGTAGGGTGCTGCTGTGCGAGATGAAAACGATATGCTTGCTGCCCTCGGGAACCTTTTGGGAAGTCCTACAGCGCCTACCCTGTAGTGTTGGATGGTACTGAAATCGTGTTTTTTTTTGTGGCAAATATTGAAATTTGGTGTTTTGAAAGTAGTTTTGGGGGTGCCTCCTGAGCTGCTCGTCCAGTAAAGGGGCTTGTCTGAGCTCACCTTTCTGATCTTGGGTTTGAGTCTGGGTCACATCTACTGCCAGCTGCTGTATGATCGGGATTACTCAAGCGGCAGGTCGCAAACTGAAAATATTTAGTTTGATATAAATATCTGTTATTTGTGATACTTAGGAGCTGCACAGTAAGTCTAAACCTGGTTGAGAATTAATAAAATAAATCTCAGAAATGACGGACCAGTTGCATAGCAAGTTTCTTGCATAAGTAATACGTGTTTCAGCTTTGCTTTGATATACTTCTCCAAATAAATTCCTACAGGATAGAGAGTAGAAAGGATAATCAACAGAAGATCACACTCAGAAGATAACATTGTGCTACTTTGCTGTTAAAGCTGCATAATTGAGACCTAGGGAATGAGTGCAGAGTGAAACAAAATTAAAACCGACCTTTTATTTTCTAATACAGCTGGTAGCACTTTTATAAAAAAGATGGGTGTGGTAAGAGTAAGTGATAACAGAGCAGGGCTGCCAGTGTAGGGTTTTAAGGCTGTTTTAAAACAAAATCACAATTGCAAATGAAATATCAAAATAGCTTCATATGTAACAGCAGGTTTATTGCAGTCACATTGCTGCGCTGTACTGAGCCACAACAGTGTGAACAAGACAGGCTTTATCTGTGGATAATTGTTTTCCAGACACTGTCCATACTTAACTTTGTTTTACTCAAAATACAGAATATTTAGAAGCTTTAAGTTGTGCACTTGTTCATGTGGTTCTCTGAACAAGGGTAAAAGTTATATATGAATATTTGTCATCTTGGGGGAGATTAAATGAGTTTGGTCCTAGTCTCTGCCTTGCATAGACATAAGCACAGTCCAAACCAAAGCTCAGCCAGTACATCAGCAAGAGAACATGACCGCAGTGACTGCACAAAGGCCAGGGAGTTTTGCTGCATGCCAGATGGCTGATAACGGTTTATAAATAGATCCAAATTTCCCTCTTTAAGTCTTGAGTTATCAGGTCGCAACTTGTGATAATAAAGTTTGAGTAATGACAGTATTTGAACAACAATTTTTAAGGAGCAAGAAATAACTGAGCTCCAGTGGTTAGACTCACAGTATATTTCATATTTTGTTGTTGCATCTTGAGAATGAGGGAGTCTTTTTATAAGAGGAATGGACTGACGTTCTATATTTTAAACCTTTTTTTAGCTAAATCCTTGTAACTTTTAATCTGTGCAGTGTGATCAGTCACCAAAAAGAAAAGCTTGGCTCACTTCTTTACCTGCCTGCACTGTGTACAGCATGTCATAGAAAATAAGCCCCTTTGACATGCAGCTTTTCAGACATGCAGCTGTTTCTCCTATTTTGATTTTGAAGAAGATACCTGCTGAATCAGTGCATCATTCACATCACATTCAGACCGCACAGAACTCTCTGAAATATCTTTAATGATCACTGTTGGCAACAGTAATTTAATTATTCATGGTTACAGAGCCCTCTCTCAATAGCTTTCCTCAGTGGAAGAACTTAGCAAGGGTAGCTTTTTTCTGGGTATTGTTAATAAATGGAATAAATCCATCACTTTTTAGAGTTGATCACTGTTATAGGCAGTGCGAGGAAGTGTGATCCGTTATACAGTATTTGAGCTGTCTTTGGAAGTGTAAGCAGGTAGCATTTTTGTGTGTTGCCTTTCTCACAGTTAAATGCATTGGCTCTTGAAGGGACCTTGGTTTTGAGCTGAATGATTTGTCTGTTTAGCGTGTCTGAAAGTTGTGAAAGTTTGTCTGGTGGTCTGATTTTGTTTGCTGGTGACAGTCCCACGAACATGTGGGACTGTACAGAGAGGGTGGGATTTTGTGTTTACTTTGGAAGACAAGGTAAACTATTAGGAAATCTTAGGTAAAACAAATTAAGTCCTTATTCAAGAGTGAAGGGAACTCAGGGAGCTCACCATCAACCTCATGGTGTACCAAAGGACACCACTGAGGAGAGACAGTTCCAAGCCTTTCCTGTTGGCTTGGTTCAGTAGTTTGGTGACAACGTATTTCCCGAGTGGAGGCAAAGTATTTTTTTTGCAAACCAGTATGTCTTGTAGAGCAGTGAATGGGATTTATAGACAATTAACTTTCTGGTAATGTATGGATGGAATTATAGGGAAAAATCCACGTTGGATTAAATGACGGGGCGTGATTTTGTGCTCGGAGCGATCCCATTCTGTACATTTCCATGATTGAGATTGAGATATCCCCCTGTCAGAATCTGGCAGTGGGGACTGCCTACAGCCCAGGGATTCGATTTGGCCGTGTGGTCTGCTCCGTTCTGATGCTCCTGATAACCAGTTTCACCGCTGTGTAGACACAGGGGATGGAGTTGCAAGGTTTTAGCAAGGCTGTGCCAGTGTGAGCAGCTGTCGTGAGTCATACGTTGTCGATGAGTATAAAATGGGACGGCGTCTTCCGTTGTCAGTGGGCCTAAACCGTGGAGGAGCTTTTGTTTCTCTTACTGATCAGTAAAGGTACATGCATTATAATTTCCCCATGCCTCCCAGCCCTTTCGTAGCCCCCTTAGTCTACCAGTAATGTTCCTTCATTGATTACACTGGCCTCGGGTTCAGGTCCTGAAGAATGTTTACTCCTCTAGGTTTTCCTGCTTTATTCATCCAACAGACCACTTTCTGTCTTGCTTACCGGAGAACGGCTTAATTTTCTCACCCAGTGGCTGATCCGATTCCCTTGAGTCCCAGCAAGTGGTCTAGTCTCTTTTCCGTTTGACCTTGCTCTTTGCTCTAAAAAGCAAGGGACCTTTATATGGGATGGGGAACTGGGCAGGCTGGATGGTAGTCCCAGCTGAGATGCGCTCGGGAACATTAGTTTCTCTCCTCCTCCTCTTGCCTTCTATGGAAATGTGTGCACAAATCACACATGGGAGCCACCCGACCCCATCACTGTTGGAACCAACCAGGCAGTCGTAACTGTAGAGCACTTTAGGTGGGTGCCACACATGCAGTTGTCTCTTGAGATTGTGGTGAAGAATGATTCATCTGGCCCTTTTACGTTTCTTCAGTGCTGAGTAGACCAGTGCCTGTACTCTTTACACCACTTTACACCATTGCTGGTATGATGAACGAAAATTGTAGGTAATCCTGCCTGCTCGTAACTCAGGTTTTAGTTTGCAGTTGCTCTCCTCATTTTGCCTTTGCATTCCAATGAATGCGCGGATATCACAATCCAGGAGTCCATGCTTCCACCCACTGTTCCCCAGTACCGATGGTGTCCCTCCCTTCCAGCTCTGGAAGATCGAGTCAGAAGGTCAGGACAGTGACTATGTGCGGGAAAGGTTTTCTGTTCGCACATAAGACCACTGTCTTAGGTGCAAACTAAAGCCTGTGATTCCTCACACCCATTCAACCAGAGAGATATGAAACAGATTGCAGGATGCCGAATGGCATCTCCCTGTCCTGTTTGTTTGACTTCTGACACTGCTCCTTTCCCTGTATGTTCCTCTGATATGTAAAAGTCTTGCCTACTTTTAATGTACAAAAAGGAAAGTAAAGCTTCAGTCCAGTGAGCATGTCTTGAGTGCTAGGGGAAACCCTATCTCTGTGATGTGCTCCCCTTCAGCTGATCGTATTAAAGATCTCTGTTGACAATCTCCCAACCTGAGTGAAGACTGAGTTTTCTTCGACACAGCCTCCATGCTGATGTCGTCTGAGACCCCGCTGCTGTTGAAACATCAGTGGGCTGAGCGGTCCCGGACGCTGATGCTCCTACCAAATGAGCCCCAACAGTCTCCCGTGTTTCAGAGTCGCTTAGGTCTCGTCCTGCAGTTGTGCTGCCCTGATCATAGGCACCTGGGCCTGTCTCGTATTGTATTGCATGATCCCCAGCATGCTGGGATATTGTTTAGTGAAGGAGCCACACCTCTGTACCTTTTTACCCAGGTGTTTCCAGTTTTGTCCACCGCCTGTACCTGCGCGGTTTGCGAGGGTCCCGTGCCGGAGGTCGGAGATCCTCGGGAATGCGCAGCTAGTGGCGGAAGGTGCCGTGGTGCTGCCGAGCTGTCGTCGGCTCCTTCTCGGTGATGATTCTGTAGCCACTGTCAGTCTTCAAGCGATGACCTCCCTTAGTTTGCTGAGCTAAACGCAGCCAAAAGCATGTTCTGCTCACTGTTCAGAGGTTGGCTGGGGGCAGAGAGACCCTTAAACTGTACTTTGTTGCATTCAGTTGCAGAAATTGCTCCTTAACTAATGAGACTTCACTAGTGAACCTGTTCAGGTTTATGAAATGTATGATTTTGATTATGTGCGCTGTGAATGCACAGCATTAATCTCGCCAGACAGTTTGACATCTTGCTTACTTTTACGGTTAGGGGTTTTGTCTTTTTATTTGCAAAGGATTTATAAATGTCATTATTGTTTAGTAAGAATTTTGATTAGTTAACGTCATATTTGTTGTTCATGTGTGCTTTAGATATGCTGATATCATTCTTCCATATAACTGCTTCCTAACGCCTTTAAACATAACAGGTTGTGTAGAAAAGAGGTGTTGGCAAGTTCCACATGTTGTAACAAATGGTTATGGAAAGTTGAAACACCTGTACTCAACGGGTTTATGTTTAGTTCTGAGCATGCGGAGAGAATCTAAGACTTTCACATGTATTTTAATGGGACTTTTGTATCACTTTTACGAGTTTTCACCTACGAGCAAAAATTCTGGAACTGGTTGTGCTCGTATAGCAAGGGATGAGTGCATGTGAGTTGTGTGCTCTCTGGTGCTTCCCAACTGCGCGGCGATCTTTGTTACAGCCCGTGAGCCAATTTCTGTAAGTGTGGTTTATTTTAAAGTCTGAAGTAATCCTGCATTATTCCTTATTTGGAGTAATAGCTGATTATTGTAGAATATTTTAAGAACTGTATTCATTGAATGTGGGTGTCATGGTTGTCCCAAAGACGTGCTAGGAGGTTGATGGGCTTCTGGGAAGTTGTCTGTGGGTGTGAGCGTCTGTGACAGTGTCTGCCTGGGATGGACTGGCGTCCCGTCCAGTGGGGTAGCCCGCCTTGTACCCCTTGTTTGCCGCACTGGCTCCCCCACGACCTTGAATTGCACAAAGAGTTTAGAGAACGGGCGGACGGATGGTTCATTGTTTTTATAAAACGAACGGAACGGGTTTAATCGCCAGTTCTTTCCACTGAATTTCGATTTTTTTTTTTTCCCGTGCAGTGGCCTTGATTTAAGATGTTGTTGATTGAATTTAAGGTTTCATACAATCTAAACATAATTTACAGACCGAGACAGGGGGGCGTCCTGAGATGTTTTTAGCAAGTGTGAAACGACAGGAGGAGGTCGGTGGCCGAAACGGCGAGCTCTGTGCCCAAGTGGCGTTGTTCGTCCTGGTGGGAAACTGGGTGCTGCAGAGTGTGCAGCCTCAAACACCCCATCAAGCCTTTTAAAGTCCTAAATTAAGAAACGGTTTATATGTTTTATAGGGGCCTTAAAACCCAAAACGTGCAAATCAGTGTTTCAATTGAAGACTACCTGTACTTTCTTAGCTTAAAGGGGAGCTGCAGCACAATTTTTACCTTTTGGGGTTGAAATGAATCAGCATTGAAGAGCGCATTTCAAACCACGATAAAGGCCAAATGTGCACAGCTTGTAAAACCTCCAATTTGCACCACAACATAGAAGAAATTTGCAGGTACGCCCAGCACTGCGTTTTGCGATTCAGAATGAGGCAACATAACGCCCGGTGAAGTGAATCATCCCTGTCGCGTCATGAAGAAGGAGGCTCGTGAATACATCTCTTTTAATCCAAGAAATAGTGCTCTGGATTTCTAGATGGTTTTGCTGACAAATAACAAGTAAATAGTAATTCTGCATGCAGGTGGCATGGAACATTTCTGTGGTGAAATGTCTAATTCAAAACTGTACTTATTTGCTCGTACATCACATTCCATCACTCGTACGTCATCATTACAGTGACTAGTGAGCAGGAAGGGCTGCTTACATTGTGGGAACTCTTGCTCTTGCCTGTGAGACCAGGGGTTTGCAACAACGTGGTGACTTACAGTACTTTCACAATTTTGTGCTTAATCCCAAATTTGTCTTTTGTTTCTATAACGTCAATGAGTTTATTTTGTCACTGAGATTAAATAACCGGTCTGATAACTTCGGGACAGTAGATCCCCTTTAAACGCAGTCTTATCCAGAACCATGTCTGGCATTGAGGTGATCTACGAGGGTGTGTATTCATGTGACAAATAGGGTTTATGTGCTCACTGCAGATTACACTGCAATAAAAAATAAAAGCAGAATGTTAACATATAGTTGCATATCCTCCCCACACTATGATAATGTTGGTTTTTCAATATAATTAAGATTGCCCAATTTATTTTTTGTGGGAAACTGTTTATCAGCTGCCTTGTTCTCAACTAAGAGGATAATATTTGCCATTACCCATTTATTTCCAGTTATAACCCATATATCACCTATTTAGCCACAAAAGCCACATTCATAGTTTAGCCCGTAATGCTGTATTTTCATGATGGTGGTTTATTAAACTGGTGAATACGAGTTGAATTTTTTAAAAAACGGAGGATTCAGAGAGGTTTAACCAAAATGCTTACTTTAACTGTACAATATGTCTTTTCTCCTTAGGTTTCTCCGTTTCAAAAGTAAAGATTCAGTGAATGTTCTCAAGATGAGTTGTTGAAACATGTGAGCAGTTGTTTTCTTGTTTCATGTGAACAGTTGTTTTCTAAGCTGTGTATATTACTGACTTTTCAGCCATGGAAACAAGGAGGTGTTTTCTTGCCATGGAATTCAGTTGGCAGTGGACTGGTTTCTGGACCGAGGCCATAAAGACATCACTGTGTTTGTTCCTGCCTGGAGGAAAGAGCAGTCCAGGCCAGATGCTCTCATTACAGGTAATGCTTCTTTAACTACCCGTGGGCCAAACAATATTCAGGTCATAGCAAGCAAACTAGTTATAGCAGAACTGTGGACTTTTCAGGGGGCACATTCTAATTAACAGTGAAGCCCCTGCAGTGATACAGTTGTGCTGCGAAAATACATGAGATTTTGCAGTACGTTTGCCGAGATGTCATTAAAGAAACTCTTTGAAATGTGGAATTGTCGAGTTTTGAGTACAGTCCAGTCAAGAGGAAGAAAGTTCTGTTATTTATAATGTATATCAAAATGTAAACTATGAAACTGTTACATGCTTTTCCATATGCAGTTATTTCATTGTGTCGATTTGTGCACCTTGTTCACACCATCAGAAAGTTGCCAAGAAGTTTTTAGACTTTTTAATTCTATGACAGATTGTTATTGTACAAAGAGAACAAAATACCGACTATGGCTTACGGCCACACCACCTAAAATACCAAATAGTCTGTTACATCCAACCTCATCTGCAAAGAATCTGCAATTTTTATTGGCTACACAGTGTTTGTAGTCTACTCAACTCTATTTTTACTAAGAAATCTGCTGGCTTAATAGCATCTCAGTGGCTTACAGTAGATTATTTTTTCAAATCTGTGTTCATTTTACAGTTGCAATCTTAATTCCATTTGGAGGTGTAGATAGAGCTACTATAAGGTTTTATAAAAGTGTTCTGGTTAGTATTAATTATTTAGTATTATATTATTTAGCACTGTAATACAATGTCTTGCATAGGTGTCCACCCCTTACCAATGATATTCTATTCTAAGTACAAATTAACACATTTCTAAAGTGACCATTTCTAATTGACAGTTGAATGCTCACACTGAATACCGCTGTGGGTTAGAGAAGCTCTCGACATACGCGGTCAAGTAGAGTCGAGAAGTAACACAAACTAGAGGAGAATGTCGATTGCTGCTACGCGTGTTCATGCCTCCCCCAGTCGATACCTGCTGGGAGCACCTGTGGCAACAGTTGTAGCTGTGGCAGGGATATGTCTCTGCTCACTGTGCACACTGGGGCGGCGAGGTGCTTGCAGACCTGTTCAGGTTCTGTCCAGCCCTGATTGGCAATTGTTGGTGGACAGAGATGGGCAGGTCTGGTCAAAGGTTCCCTGTTGGGTTTCAGTCAGGCCTTTGAGTTGGTCACTGATGGGGGGTCACTAAGTCGCTCCGGCGTAGCTTTAGATCATCACCCCAGTTTTATGGCTGAGGGTTTGTAATGTGCCCTGTCCATTTTCCCCTCAGTCCTGACATGCTCCCCAGTCTCTGCTGCGAAGTTCCTGCCACCCCCTGTCCTGCTGGGCGCGAGGGTTGGTGCTGACTGAGTGAGGCACTAGGTTGCATTTGCGTCGGATGCAAAGCTTTGCGTTAAAAATCAAAAGGTTACGGTTTTGGGTCATCTGCCCGCAAAGCCTTCTGCCATGTTTGCAGTATCTCTTCGTTGCTTTATTGGAAACCCCATGCGGGGTATAAGTGACTGGGCTGCTGTTGACCAATGAGCTTTTTCTCCCATCCGAGCCTCAGTTCTGTAAGTCTCCGTTGGCCTCGCGGAGATGGTACTGCTGCTCAGCTTGGCGAGACAGCCTGCTGTAGGCCCCATCCGAGTGTCTTCCGCTTCCTAATGAGCGACTTCACCGTGCACAAGGCGATGTTCAGGGGCTTTGAAGCGTTCTTCATTACCCAACTCCTGCTCTGTGTCTTTCGAAACAGCTCGGGATCAATGTTCTCTACATCTCCTTGGTCACCGCGGTTGAAAGTTTCTGGACTTGTACTACCTGACTCAGGGACCCTACAGAGAAGGTGTATTTGCTCTGAAATGATGTGAACCGCTGTATTGGCACAAAGGCCGTTCAATTAATTGTGCTCTAAGTAATTTTGTGAGCATGAAGGAATTGCAATAAGTTGCTTTCGCGAAAGTGAGTACTTCTATGCGTTAATGCATATACAATTTAACATTTAGATTTTTTTAATAGTTTTTAATGATAAGTGTTAAAACCATAAAAGTGTCATATTGGACCAACTGATTAAAATTATCTTTAAAAATGAGATTATTTTTAATTCAGCAAAACAGGATATCATTGGAAGGGGTTAATACTTTCGGCGCAACTTCCAGTAAAACAAGTCTAATAATTGCACAAGATCCACTGAGTGTTCCTATGAACTTGCTTATCGGGCTTTCCTAAATTGCCTCAGACATCTCCTGACAAATCAGTAATGCAGTCTTTTGTTATTTTTTTTTACTTTATAAAAGTTTTGAAGTTTGAATTGAATGAGATGGCATTACACTCTGAAGAAATACCATACTCATAAAAAGATTAAGGCTGGTACTGTATGTCAGCACAATAGAAATAGCAAGGGCACCTTTGCTCAAAAGTCCAAAAAGGTACCAAATTGAATGTATTCTGGACTTCAGTTGTTGCGTCTTTGGAATTAATGTCAGCTTTGTGGTTCTCACTTGCCCTTTGTAGTGGTGTGTAAAACTGGGTAAGTATACCTTACTGCCGAGGTGCTTCTGTTAGTGTTGAGGATCAGCTAAAGGTGGTGGTTGCTTTCACCTGTTTCCCCCTCTTTGCAAGATAGGTGTCTAGATATGCAAGTAAATACCTTACAGTACCTGTTTTAAAATTATCCTTATTGTTTGCATCATGTACTGAATCTTCACTGGTATGTGTAGGTCAGGGGGATAAGCGATCTCTAGACAATTTCTTTCTAAAACTAGATCATTCATGCGAAAAGGCAAAGGTCTTGCAGAAATGACAAGTAATCTGAGAACCTGTGTAATATGGTAAATAAGCTGGAATCTGTTGCGATTTTCCATGCATCTTATTCACACAGACCTTCTTTACATTGTTGCAGCTGTGGATCCAACTGTGAGATGAGCAGTAGTGGAAATATGGCAGTTTCCTTGCCCAGTAAGACACTGTGTCAGCTTCACCCACACAGAGCGATTTCTCACACCATGACTTCTGTTTATTGCCAATATGTGCAAGGCTGTTTATAAAGGGATTTTATTGCCCCCGAGACAAGTAATTAATGGGGGGAACTTCTCTGACTTAAACACTGTGGAAAGTCTCCATGCTTAGAGCAGACGTGCAGAAGGCAACTCATACCCTAGAGACTGACAGCTTGTGTCCAGGCTGTGCCACGAGCTGACAGCTGTTAAATACAGTATTCCCTGGTGATCCCCAAAAGAGGCATTTGTGTGGTCTCTTTTCCACACAAACGTCCATTGGGGTTAATTGAATTTGATCAGGAGGTTTAATTTAGACTAGAGAATGGTTACAAATTCTAAGTTCCCTTTAAGAAATACCAGAAGATGAAAGATTTGAAAAGTGTGCTGCAAAAGTTAAGAGATTCCTGTGTGTATTTGGAAGATTTGATTTTCTATTAAAAAAATATATAATTCTTCTGTGTTTTGGCAGGTGTGTGTGTGTGTGAGATACGAATTCAGACAAAAGCTGCCTTCTGTTTTTGTTGTCTGTAACGTGAGGTGTGCTCAGTTTGAAAGTCCGCGCTGCTGGGAGCCGAGGTGTTGCCCAGTGCCGTGTGCCACCCCAGCCCGCTCTCAGAGGGAAGCTCCGTCAGTGCAGTGATGCTGCGGTGCTCTCCTTCTTCCCGAACAGACCAGGAGATCCTGCGGAGGCTGGAGAAGGAGAAGATCCTGGTGTTCACACCCTCGCGGCGCGTGCAGGGGCGCAGGGTGGTCTGCTACGACGATCGCTTCATTGTCAAGCTGGCCTACGAGTCCGACGGCATCATCGTGTCCAACGACAACTACAGGGACCTGGCCAACGAGAAGCCGGAGTGGAAGAAGTTCATCGACGAGCGGCTGCTCATGTACTCGTTCGTGAACGACAAGTAAGGTCATGGGTTGGACGTGATTTTCTTTAATTTCCAGTAGGAAGGAGGGTGATGCATGCAGGCCGAGGAGACATTTTTGGAAAGCAACAGGTTGTCGTCTGGTGGTAGCAAGGAACTGGAGTATGTAGTGATCCTGAAATGTGAGAGGGGTTTTGTCAGCGTGCGGGCTGCCAAGGAACAAGGAGAAGCTAATTCCATGTAGAAAAGTAGAAAAAGAATACAATGTATTGACTGTGGAGCCTTCTGTGGAGCACAACCCTGAAGAAGGCTTCCCTTGCAGAAACATTTTTTTCTACTTATCCGCTACAATTAAGAAAGAATTTGTCATTCAAGTTTAGATTTCATAGACTGATTATACAAATCAGTCACTTAATCCTGATTCATTTGGTTTGCACATGGGTTGTTAGCAGCATTTGGTATGTGCTTTTTGGAGCACTCGCTTAGCTTTGTGTTATCCTTTTTTTTATGAAAGTGTAATCATAGTAGCATAGTAGTTCTCTACTACCTCAATTGTGACACTATTCATCTCTGTTCTTTTTGCCTAGTCATGTTACTGTTTTGTGTTGTTGAAGACTGTAGCATCAGCTGTTTGCATTTCAGATGCGTTTCCAAATTGAGCTGGCTGTTAGGGTTTTTCTGATCAGGGTTTGCTTTACAACATAAGTAATGTAGCATAGGTTCTGTAATATCCCTGAAATTATGAGCTCCACAGATCCTTTAATGGTACAAACAGTAACTGCCTGAACTAAAAATGTTAAGCAATGAACTTTCTGCTTAAGATAAAGTCAAAAGAAGGACAAAAGTAGAAGTCAAGTATTGAAAATCATGACCATATGTAAACTTTCAGAAATTAATATTCCATTTTGGGAGCTCATTTTTGTTGAACAGTTCAAATTTAAATTTAAAACAACTGAATTTAATTACATGTAGCCCTGTGTCTGCTAAGTGCCATAAGAGCCCACAGCTGACATTGTGTTGTGTGGGCAATTATATAATCATTATTTTAAATACCATTTTCTCTGTGAATTATCAGCATCAGATGTCTGCAGTTGTTAAATGTCTTGACTGCTTCTAAGTGTGAAATTTGGTATCAAGTAAGATGGTTTATGATTTCAAACACACCAGTGCAAACACTTTCAGTCCAAATGAAAGTGATGAATTGTGATGTCAGTAGCAGGAGTTACAGTATTTTAGTGATTTTTCTTATGGCATTGGGACCGGATGCCCTACGTATCTGGGATTATTTGGGGCTGTTAAATGCAGCCTACAGTTTTATTAGGCTTGCTTGGAAATTATTAACTACCCCTTCATCTGATTCCAAGTATGTTCTTTTTCCCCAGATCAGTATCGGATATGAGGAGTGAAATGATCGGCAAATCTTTGATTTTATAAATAATTACAGTGATTAAAAAGATTAATGTTGGCTGTAAGGTTGTTTTCTTTTGAAGCTGTGATCAAGTTTTGCTTTTAAACGATTTTGTTTTATAATTATGCAAAGTGAGAATACGAATTTTGACAAAAACAGCTGCTTTGCATCAGGTTTATGAAAACACAGTTATGCTGCACAAGGCAAGTCGCAGTTTAAGGTTAACCAGTAAATGTTAGATTAGCCTTTTAGATCAATTTGTGGTTCCAGGCCTACAGCACATTTAGAAAATTCAGTGTCTGGTGTTTTGATTTAACTCAGGGATGCGGTTTTGAAACAAATTGCCCTGTAGAATTAATCAGGTACAGGGGACAACCTTCTTATTTCTGTGTTAAAAGCATTATGGGGGAAGATATGTTTGGATATGAATGCATGGCGGTACTTCATGGCAGTACAATGGTGTTTTCCAAAATTTTAAAATGGTTTTGTTCCATTTGCTCTGGATGCAGTTAAGATCTGTGGTCCCATATCTCTTCTTGTATTTAAAGGACCACAGCTTTCATGGTCATTCTCATCTCATGGCTGAATACTTTCAGAATACGTTTCACGTTACTAAAAACCTCCGATTCTATAACTTGATTTCTAGCCAAGCCTTTCCATTTAGTTGGTAGCAGTACATTTTTAATATACAGTATATCTGAACCGACCCAGCATCCCCCCAAAGAATCAAACGACTAACAGTGACTTTTGCGTCCATTTGTGCCACTCAAAAACGTGTTTTGTGTTTTAAATAAGCGTGAACTACAGTATGTCTCGACTTCATTGGGCGTTTCAGGATGCTGTGCTCAATGCTTCATTTTCCTGTCTTAGAAATGTAAGAAACACATTGAGGCGGTTTTTCGTGGCGGTAATGTGTTTTGACCGCCGAGGTCCCTTGCCATCGGTGGTTGGGTTCACCTCCGATATTCGCCAAACCTCTGCTAACCTCGCGCAACAACTCCCCCAAGGTCCCAGCGTCTGAAGCTTTTACTTACAATAATCCGATCAACGACAACGTACGTATCAACGTACTAAGAACAATATAACCAGATACCTGGCAAGATGGTCTGGGGCACGCAAACTGTTCACTAAATGATGCTGAGTGCCCCATATCTCTCAGCGAAGCAAGGAATCACGACGCTGCTGTAAGGTAGTGCTCCTTAATTCATGAGTGGCTGTGGAAAAGGACGAGTTCATGCTATCTGTGTATTTGATTTGTCTCCTTGTGGGTGCTGGTGTTGTCCGTTGTCTATTTTTTTTAAAAACATTTATTCCCCCCTTTCAGTACCGCCGGTTTGCGAACACCCACGCTCCAACAGAGAGCCCTGTGGGCAATGTTCCCTCTAAGCTGTGGGCACACACCGGTGATGAAATCAGCGCCCAGAGGAAATTGAACTGTGCACCAAAAATTAAATTCCCCCCCCAAAACTGATGATAAAACGAACACGGTCGCCAGTTGAAAAATGCGAAATGGACCGCATGAGACCATGAGCTGTGCTCTCGTCGTCTCGTACCTCCCTGTTCATGCTCGGCGGGGAATGTTGCCTGTGGGTGTGTTTTTTCACATCTCGGTCCCCTGCTGCGCTTGCTGCAGGATTCTTTAAAAAAAAAAAGGCTGAAGCATTTTGTGACGCAGGTGAAGGGGACCAGAGGAAGACGTTATGGGCTGTGTATACAGTGCTATACACAGCAGGTTGAGCATGTCGGAAGCACGCCCACGCGATTAAACATCACATTTCAAGTGTGAAACCTCTCAGTGTGTTTGTACATAGTATTTGTGTGTACCAGTCGGTCATGGGTACGAACAAGTTGACGATATGTTCAGGCTACCCTGAGCAAAGCTTTACTTGAAACACGCAAGGAGTAAAAAGCAAGTCTGTTCTCTGGCATGAACTGATTTTTACTTCTGACCGACACAGCTGTGCTTTGGGACGTTTTGCTGGATTTATGTATTGAAAGCACAGAAGTCTGACTGGTGACTGCCAATTATCATTTTAACATCAAATGGCAAAAATGTAAATTAGATGTTAGGTCTTGGAATTACTCCCTGCAGTCACAGTGGTGTACTGCACAGTAGGTATTGGTTTATTTACCTGATCTTTTTGGCGGGATGAAATTGGGCAGTGGGCCGGACCCAGCCTGGAGTCTGTAGGGTCCAACTCGGCCTTGGAGAGAGACACGCCTGTTTTGGATCCCTCTATTCCACATTTAATGAAAAAGTATTGCCTCTAGTTTACTAATGTTTTATCTGATAACAGTCATTCTGTCAGCAGTGATACTGCTGTAAACTAATATTTCAGTGTTTCAAAGTCAGCGTTGAAGCTCATTAATGACACGTTAACCAGTAAGCCTAGAGTTGATAAGCATCAATTTGCTTTTAGGACTACAGAGTAAACTGGACAAATTCCTTCTGGTACTTCACTTCAGGCTGGACACAGATGGATGTGGACAAGCCTGTCAGGGTAGCTCTTGCACTTATACGGAAGGGTTCGTTTCCAGGCCTTGGGGAAATCGTCTTTTTCTTCCTCCTGCGCGGGCAAAAGCAAAGTCAGGGGTGACAAGGAGTTGCTCCCGCTGGAATATACTTCCTTGCGATGGCCTTTTGCTTCGCTGAATCCTGATTTTCCTTCTTCTTCGATTTCAAGGTTCATGCCTCCTGATGACCCTCTTGGACGCCACGGTCCCAGTTTGGAGAACTTCCTGAGGAAGCGGCCTCAGATTCCTGAGCACAAGAAGCAGCCCTGTCCCTATGGTAAGCTTAAACGTCTGCGTCTCCTGCTTTTGCACGATCTGCTGGTTTTCTTTGTTTCAGCTTGCGATGGGGGTGAGGGCAGCGTGTCTTAACAGGATCAAGACATCTTGCACCAGAATGGCTACCCCATATCTGCATAGTTTGTAGGGATGGCTGGAAATCGTCAACATTTCCACAGAAGTGTTGTGTGAGATGAAACTGTATCTAATACATACTTAATAGCATTTTCACTCTTCCTGCAGGAAAGAAGTGCACTTATGGTCATAAATGTAAATTCTATCACCCAGAAAGAGGAAACCTGCCCCAGCGCTCTGTGGCCGATGAGCTCCGAGCCAGCGCCAAAAACACTGCCAAAAGCATTAACGAAGCAGCGCTTTTTAAGAGCCATAGTATGCCTTCGAGCTCCAAAGCAGAGGGCACCCCGGACGTGAAGCGTGTCGCCCCCAAGAGGCAGTCGGACCCCAGCATCCGCACCCCGGCGAGCGGCGAGCCGGAGGAGAGGTTGTGCACCCAAGCCAAAGCCGAGACTCGCTCCCTTCCTCTGGCAGCCTGCAAAAGCACCCCCCCCCAGGCACAGAAGCTCCTGGCGCCCAGCGGCCCCGGGCCCCTGCACTGCTACCCTCAGGATCAAAGAGGGCCCCCGGGCGTGCCGAAGAACCACGGGGTTCCGCTGCCGTACGCGGAGCAGTATCCCAAATGCGATTCCCCGGACGTGAGCTACTACTCCATGATGAACGCCTATTCCGGCCTGAGCCTACTGGGGCCCCGGAGCCCGGACAGGCGCTTCTCCGTGGACGCGGACTTCCGGATCAGCTCGGTGGCCTCGGACTGCAGCAGCGAGGGCAGCATGAGCTGTGGCAGCAGCTCTGACTCCTACGCGGGCTACAGCGAGCGGGCCTACATGAGCTCCCCCGACCCCCTGCTAGACGACGGCCTCAAGTGCCACCATCACCCCCCGGCGGCCCCCCTGCCCCCCCAGTCCCACTCCCACTCCCACTCCCACTCCCACGGCCGCCTGCACTCGCAGGCCTTCGTCCACCACTACCACGACGCCCTGAGCCGCGTCCAGAGCTTCGGGCACGAGGAGCCCAAGCCGCACCCGAAGGCCGCGATGCCGTACCTCCCCCCGCACCTTCAGCACCCCGCGGTCGGGGCCCGCTCCAGCTGCCCCACCGACTACCCGGCCCCCCCGAGCGCCCCGCCGGGCCGGGCGCTGGGGTCCACGCGGCTCGACAGCGTGTCGGACTCGCGGCTCTACAGCGGCTCCCCGCTGCGGCAGAGGAAGCCCCGGGCGGGGCAGGAGCGCTTCGGGAGCTGGGACAGCCTCAGCTGGGACGCGTACGGCTACCACCAGGGCTACTCCCTGCCCAGCAAGCCCGCCCCGCCCTGCTACGAGCAGTTCGCCTTCCAGAGCGCGCCGGAGAACAGGGAGCAGGCCTGGAGGATGCCCTGGGGCAGGGGCTACCCGCAGCAGGAGCCGCCAGGCCACGCCAGGCTCCAGGACGTGCGGGACAAGGTCTACGTCAACCTCTGCAACATCTTCCCGGCCGACCTGGTCCGGCTGGTGATGGGCAGGAACCCCCACATGACGGACGCGCAGCAGCTGGCGGCGGCCATCCTGGCCGAGAAGTCCCAGCCGGGGTACTGAGGGCGGCCGCGGTTCCCGCCGCGGCAGTGCCATCTCAAAGGGCCCTTGCGGGGAAGCCTGAAGGCCCTTGCGGGGAAGCCTGAAGGCCCTTGCGGGGAAGCCCGAATCGAGAGTCGCAGGACAGTCCGTGAGATTCGTATAATGTGATCGCGCTGCTGGGGGGTTCACCCCGGTCTGCCGGAGGCGCACGCATCTTTGAAGACCCAAACTGAGTCGAAAGAAGCTGCTAATGTCGCTGAAGTGTTTCATGTTTCAGGGGTGCGTTAGATGCCAAAATCCACTTCGCGGTGTCTGAAGGGGTCAGCTGAATGTTTTGCTACACCTTTTAGTTTGGACGGGACTGCACGTAGGCTCAGTCAAACCCAGCAATTGACTATATTATACTAATTTCACCCGCCTCGCTCCGAGAACCCTTCTGGCGTGCTGGGGGAGTGTCGCCATAGAGTAAGAGCATCATGTGTTTTGTTTTTGTTGTTGCCTTGGTTTTATTTATTTTGCTGTTCTTGTTTTTCCATGGAATAATTTGCAGAAAAAAACGAACTTTTACAATTAAGGAGGTGTTGGTTCTTAAGGCACTTTTTGCTGCATATCAAATATAAAAAGTTAACTTTAGGCAATCAATTCAAAGGAAACTCTGCTTCATACTTTCTGGGTATGAGAAGATACTTCCCTGTTATTGAAACGTAGGTGAAACTGCTTAAAGCAGATACCATCTTTGTATTTGGAGACAATGTATTATTTGTAAACAAAGTCGCATCATAAAACTTGCATTTGGTACCTTATATTCAATATATTTAATCAAATACAATTTACATGTATTTATTTGTTAATTGGAAAGTTAGTGTAATTATAGCAACTTATTCCAAATCATTTCTAATGCTACCTAACCCTTGCTAAACAGATTTCTTTTTAATTTATCTGCTTACCCACAGGCTAAAGTTTCCTTTTTGTGATTCTCTGCTTATTCTCAGCTCACATTTTGTGGTTTACCAATGTTGTGCAATTTTTTTTAATCATTTTTCCTGAACCAGACACCATTGAAATTGCAAAATGTCAGTTCTTGAGAATATGCAAAATAGCGTTGGTAATGCACTGTAGTGTACAATTCATGCTATTTTATTTATCTTAAAGCATAAATTATTGTTTTTTCTTTGTGTTCATTTTGTTTTTGTTAGAAGATGTATTTTATTGAAATTAGTAGCAGAGCTATTTTGTTATTAGATGTTCAGAATCTTGCCACAGATTTAGTTGTAGAAACAGACATGCTGTCTGTGTACCTTAGTTTTAGTAAGGGATGTTTTTGGCTTATTCACTCATGGGTTTCTGCTAGCTGTTTTCACAACTGCCACTTTTATATGCACACGGTTCATTACAACACATTTTATTGTTTCAATCCTGGGAAACAGATTTTAATCAACCTTAAACTTTACCTGAACCTTATTTGCTGAGCGGGATATTTCTCTACTAGTTCAAGGGACCTTTCTCTCTTAAAGAGATCTGGATATATAAGCGATGGTTTAACCCCTATTTACAAATTCTGAGAGCTAGGGACCCAATTTAATAAGAAACATTGGAACATTTTCAAATAAATGACAGGCCATCTGCTCTACATGATACTTTATCAAACTTGGGTAATATGAAGAACTTTACACTGTAGACCATGGAACAAATCACTAAATTGCATCAATCGAAAAGTAAGAAATGCAGTTTCAGTGGCATTCAGTATTTCTGCAAAGCAAATTAAATTTTCATTAATATTTGTTATTAAATAAGGAATTTGCTAACTTGAGAGTTCAGTCATTCAACATTGAATTCCTGCACTGTACTGTCCCTGTACAGTTGTGGTCTAGAAGCACTTCTGTTTTTCCATTATTATGCTTGTCAGGACAAGAAAAAAGGTGCCGAGCATCCCTTGAAAATAAACTGCTCTTTAAATCCATATCAGCTGTTAGCAGAACCCTTGATAGCCAGAGAACACCTTTCTGTGTTGATACAAATTGTATCTTTTAAATGAATGAGAGTTTTTATATATAAAAGATATATACAGTATATATAAATATATGTACAGTAGTTAGAGACACCTTTAACCTGTTATTAAAAGATATTTTGGGCAACATTTTATCAGTTATTTTTAGCAAAGCTTTTTTCAAAAGTGCATAAAATGCATTTGTTCCAAAATTTTGGGGAGATGAGAATGTTATTGAAAAATGTGGGTACTTCAACTTAATAGTGGGTCATAAGAAAGAATCAAATACATTTTTAGATGGGGTCTCCTTTAATGGGCTCAGCAACTGATCGAAATGTCAGTGTCAAATCAAAACTCAACTTTATGAAAGGTTATATGGTTCTGTTTGCTGTGAAGTGCTTGGGCTGTGTCTAAACCAGATATGAAACCTTGTAGTAGATCAGATTTGTTTTTATAAAATTAACTATTGTCCAAATTGACTGCAGTGGAATGCTGTGTCATTGAATTTTAGATTTCATACATTTTGGTCATGCATTAAAGAAGACCCCAGCACCACGGATTTCTGACAAATAAACATATCAGTCAAGATACACTTTTGAAATCCTTGGCAGTTTTTTTTTTAACTAGCCTTTTTGCATTGGTATCTCGTTATTCTTGGCTCTGTCAGGGTGTTCTTGGGTGAAGCCTTTCAGGGGGTTGGCTCAAGAAATACAAACTCTCATTCCAAGAGAAAAGGTAAAATGCTGCCTGAAATAATGTCCAAGCACCTTTTAATGAAGAGAACCTTCTCTCTGCTTGTGTGGCACTGTGTGTCAACACGGGCAGGCTTTGGGTATACAGTAAATGCTTCTACATGGCATTGTGCTTATTGACAAATTCGATAATCTGAACCATGTTCAGAAAACTGTAGTTCATTTATTTTTATCTCAGTGTTTATTATTGTTAAGGAATGTTGGGAGTTTTACTAGCAGCTTGACTTTAAAACAGCATTCACTCGGGCTGTTCGTTGTTTTCATTCTTCATTACTATGTACAGTGTTTGCATTGAAGTAAGTTGTCCATTTACATACTCATTTCAAGTAAATAAGCTTCTTTTGAATGCACCATATATGTTAGCGTAATATAATTCATGTGGTGCCTAGAAGTAGCATTTTTAAATTGTAGGTTGTATATTATGTACATAATTGCAGTTTTTCTGACTACCTTACTCTTTTCTTGATCTTCAGCAATTGTGTTTCTGAAAAACAAAAACCGTTGATCTGATCACTGTGTTAATATCTGTTCTCAACAGTGCAAGCCGTAGTTGTTAAAACATTAGGCCTTAGCCTTTCAAGTATTACTTCAAAATCGGAGGTCTGGAACACTGTGGTTTTTTTTAAGCTGGGTATTCTCACACTCTCTAATCACATGTGAACAATAAGGTCAATATTAACGCTCTACATATAAATCTTTATACAATTTAACATATTAACCTCCTTTGTGTTTTTTTTTACCACAATATGAAAAAAATAAAAAACCAAGAAATGTAGCTTTGGCGGGATGTCCCAATAAAATGCTTTAATGGTGTAGAATATTTTTTTCTGCTGTAGCACCTCAAATGGGCTCCCAGGTTTACTCAGCTTGTCTGTCTTTCCTTCATTCAGTTTTACCGAATTAGTGGTGCGGTCTATAAGCCATTTTTCAGGTCTCTACTGAAACATTGCGTTGCAGATCAAGCTATCAGAGTTTTTTTTTAAATCCAGTTTGTGATGGAGGCATTAAGTCTTGGCTTGTGCGTTAGTGGCTTGCTTGGAAATAGTTTTCGAGAGGCTTAATGGATTAATAGATTATGTGTAGGTTACTATTATTCACTGGACGAAACATTCTAGTTCAGTCCAGATTATTTAAAATAAAAAAAATTAACCTTTACTGTGTATATATTTAAAAAAATATGAAAACCTTTCTGGATTTCTTACTTTCAAGTAGTTTAGCTCACTGCTGTATATTAATTTCAGTCCGTATAGCAACATGTAGATGTTTGCTGAAGGCACAGAAGATGAACACACAGTGACAGAAGTGATCAGCAGACCTCTCAGCACATCTATGCAGAGCTGTCCTTTCTTCATCTTGCATACTGTTTATAAATCGTTTGCGTCTTGTGTGACTTACAGTACACACTAGTGTTTAATTAGACGTTTTTGTATTGAGTGTTTTAAATTGTACCTAAAGGAATGGCTACCATTAGCACTAGAGAATCCCGTTGTCCTAACTTTGCGCTTTGCAATTATGACACTGCAGCATATTCCTGTTGCATTGAAGCCGGGCTAATTCATTCTTAGAAGTATTGTCTTTGTAAAAGGAAGCTGCACCATATTTTGCTGTTGTGTTGACCGTTAAAAGAAATGTTCATGGTGGTGCTTGCCTATCAGTGTAGCTGTTGTGCACAGTGTGTGTCTTAGTTGTGACATTGTTCTGCAGCTGGTTTGCTAGGAGGTAGTTTAATTCTTGGAATTTTTAGGCTCCCAGGAAGGACCTGGGATCTGGATCTGTTCTCTAACATAATGATACAGGAAGACTGGCAGGGACTTGCCACTAAACTCCCAGTCTGCTCCTGAGCCCTATTGTCTTGCCTCCTGGCTTGTTCATATTTTGTTTTTTAACCGCCAGGCTTGTGAATATCCAGTGTGAAATTTGCGTCCGGGGTGTGTCGGCCGTCATTTTGTGTTTGTTCAACTATACTGATACATCAGGGTTGTTAAGGGGTTGTGAAAGCAGCAGTGCTCGAAACAACCAAGTGCTCAAGTTGTCATTTATCTCCTGAGACTTGGCAGAATGTTTTGCAATTGCCATTCTGCTTAAAATATAATTTTCTAGCTTGTAAAGTTAATATCTTTTCTTTACGGTTATGCCCTGTTGTTGCAAAGGAATCTTGAGAAAGAATTAACTTTGCCAAGTTTCTCCCAAGCTTCATCTATTAGGGCTAGTTAGGTAGATCAGGGTTAATGAACTGTCTTGCATGTAGAATGTATGCTGGCACTAGAAAGGTTTTGTAACTGCCGTTCAGTGAGATATATTTTTATTTTTTCTGTTCCCAACAATGTGGAGAGGCAGCGTCACGTGGCTCACGATGAGATGTTGTCTCTTTTACATGGGTCTGCTTTCGAAGCTGGAGTCCGAAGGCCTCTGCCCGTGGGGAAATCGTGTCATGCATTTCAGGAAATGAGTCACTCTTTTGCAACACTTTCAGCTTCACCGTGGGCAGGAGAAGGGAAGTGGACTGGGAAATTCCATGGCTGAGGTCTGCTGCCTGATTGATCACCAGAAAACGGGGGGTCACATCCAGTTCAGTCAAAACATAATTTTGTAACTACTGCTGTTATTGGTTTGCTAAAATATAGATGTTTTTTATATTTTAACCTTAAAAAAACAACAATCGTGTATTGTCAATACTGCAGGTGTAGCATCCTGTTATAAATGTTTTTGAGCACCCCAATGCAACTGGTAGAGCACAGAAATTACAATCAGCAATTAGCCTCTGTGCCCTGATACCATCTAGCTTTTAGGGACCAAATAGTCAGGAGATTTTTAGTGGTTCACGCTGTGCTGACTCTCTGCATACCTGCTTCAAAGCCATATTTGCTGTGCATCATTTAAACCCCTTTTTTCCAATTGTGAAATGGCAATAAGTGCTTCCTCATTATTCTGTGGCAGTGCCGCTTTTTCAGGTTATATTGGGTTTAACAGCTTTTTCAAAGCCTGGATCTTTGCCGTTCCTTGATTTGAAATTCTGGAGATAAACATCCAACTTATCTGGTTTTTGACAGTAAATGTTATAGAGCTGTCTTATGATAACTTTTTTTTATATTATTGTGTAAAAACCATTCACCTCGACTCCCCAGTGCTATGAAAAATGATTCAAAGTAAAAGTCCCGTCTTTTGCTTTTGAAGCTTTTTTTCTTTCTCGTGGCAGCGCTGAGAGTCTGCCCATCAGGAAGCAAAGCACACCTGTGTGTGTGAGGAGCCCCTGATGTCAAGTTTCGATGCATTAAATCGCCGAAAAGGACGATAGAAGATGTAAAGGGTTAGATTTCTGAGTAAGGGTTGTAAACTAGTAAGGGAGCAAATTAGGATGAACACAAGAGCTATATGGGTCATCAGATATTTCTGTATAGTTTAGAGGGCGATTTCCTGTGTATGTCCTATAGCTGACACGTGCAGTTAGAAGTAAAGGAGTGGTGTTTGGTTACTGGATTGCTTCGGGTGTGGACAGGGAATGTGACGGGGCACAAGCACGAAGCACAGTGGACTCGCTCGATGGCAAGCCTTGGAGCTCAGGCAGGCCAGCAGCCAAGGTCCTGCCTTCATCCTCTTGGCGTGTTCCCTTGGCCTGTACGAGAAGGGCAGGCCACAGAAGCTGTACTATCGTGAGTGGGTTCCGGCTGTAAGGCGACTGGATTGCGTGTTGCCCTGTCAAGCCAATAGCACAGCTGGGGGAGAAACAGGGCCCTTTCTGAACCACTGCCGAGCGCCTTCATTTGGGTTGAACCATTTTTTCCTGGATGAACTATAAGGGTGTGTTTTGCTGCGAGGTGCCTGGAAAGTGTTGTAATTCAGAAGGGAGAGATTTAGCAATACGGCCAGCAGAACCGTGAAGGAATTATCAGAATAAGGAGTGTTGAGAAATTCCCACGGACTGGGTGATCTGAAAAGCGGAGGGCTTTGATAAGGCTGTGATGATGTAACTTACAAAGCCTCTCGCTGTTTGTCGGGCTTATTGTGAACAATAACTGGTGAAATGGAACAGACTGCTTTTAAAAATAAAATTAACATGACTGGGCTTCTGTGTTTTTTTTAAATAAAACTTATCATTCTACCACTTTGAGAATAGGTTTTTTTTTCATAACAGTGCTTTCCTTCTAATTCTAGGAAGGGTGTTCTTCAGTTTGAACAAATAATTCTAAGAAAGATCACGACTCCTGATGTCAAATAAAGTAGTAGTTATTTATTTGTATCAGATTAGCACAGAAAATATTTTAAATTTGTGCGAGCAGGTGTTTGGTTAATAAGAGTGGAAAGGAGTTTTGTAGAAGTCTCTTATATGCATGCTAATTTATTCTCAGGGTACGAAGCAATATTTAGCAGACATTCATTCATGTTCATTTTATTAGAGGTCAGATCTTCAATGATTTGTGTTTTCCACCTCATTATCTGTTTCTTTGCATCTGTTGCTTACGGTATAAGTGGTCATAACCTTGTTAAAAGCCCGGACGTTCTTGTTTAGGACTGGTCCCATTTCTGTACTCACTGGGGCACTGGGTGACGTGCTGCATGAAAGCGACTACGATCCTGACTCAGATGTTATTTGCATTTTCAGGGTGGTGACTGAACTGCCACGAGAGAAACAAAACCGCTTGTATTTTTGTATCCATGGGGCTGAACCTCTAAATAAACCTTGTGACTGTGAAGAGACATAGCTTAAAGTCTTCATATCCAAAGACGAACTTGTAGTTGAATGGCAGGACAGTTGGGTGAGGCATCTAGTAATTCATCAACTATTGTTAAAAAATGGGAGCAGCAGAATGTCCTAGAGAGCTAAACTCACAATGTAAGTAATGTGGAGAGAATGAAACTGTTGTAGGACAGCAAGAAAATAGGTCTTTTATGTCCATAAAATAAATGCCCATACTCATCTGCATATCTAATATTAAACAATATATTAATGTTTGGAGTAGTGCTGTTTTTGAATAATGTAATTGTGGAAAAGTTGCCAGTCCTCTTTCACTTTTTGATTTTAAGATATGGTATGATGTGTCCCTTATTAATAGACTTGGAGCCGAAGCTCTCAGAACTTCAGTGCTTCACGCAATAACAATTGTGAAGGTTTTTAGAGCTGCCAGCCCTTTGTTGAAAAGCACTCCTAACTAAAATTGTTTTGTATTATTTTTAGTATTTCTTTCATTCTGATTTATGAAATGATCAATGAACAAATATACATTCTCATTAATTTATGCTAGGCAAAATAATTACTAGTTACAGTTGGATAAAATGTTTCCTCTTTAACACACTGTAATCTTTTGTCAATACTGCAATTAAAAATAACCCCAGAACATTTTAAGAACTATCATTTGACAAATCACACTCCTCCAGTAGCTAGAACCATTGAGTAAGTCAGTTTTTAAACCACCCCTGTGGTTCAACACTTCAGTTTTTTTATTGTTCTTAGTTACATGTGGGGTTGGAATATAAGATTCTGAACAAAGACAAACATTGCAGAGAAAATCCAAAAAAACAGGGCAGAGGGAGCAGGAAACTTGTCTTCACTTTATTAATATCTTTCCTGAATTATTGTCTTGGGTAGCATTTGCCCTCTTAGTGTCTTCTGTAGCAAGATAGCTGTGTACCGGGGGAATGAGCTGCACTGTGCCTGCTCTTGCAGGAGGGAAAATGAGATTGCTCTGGTTAGGTCAGAGGAGGAAGTAGTCTCCGAATGACCAGAACGGTTGCCTGCACTTGATACAGGTCTGTATAGCTGACTGCAGAGTTCCAAGAAGAGGTGAAGATTCTGAATCTCTGAAAACAATCCAGTTGAGGTTTGGTCCTTTATAACCATTACTTAGTGGTTAAAAGTGGGACAGTACAGCATGGAAGTTGTGACAATTTTCTAGTGCTTCCGGATCACACTTCCCTGCTTTTTTTAAAGCTGCCTGTGCTTTAAAGAAACTACTGTATATACAAGGTAAAAGAATGTTTATCATTTACTGGTTTTAGTAGAGAGACCTCATTTCGGATGTAGGCTTTGTATGGATCACTGAAGGCCCACAACTTCACGCTGTTAGTACAGGCACTCATAATCTTTTTTTAACTTAAATTTGCACTAAGGTCATGTGCTTTCTGTTGTAAATTGTTCTACCCAACTATTTATGCAATAAAGCATGAGTGATTCTGCCAAAAAGAGTTCAGAAGTTTTGAGTGGTCCCTCCAGCACCGCACATCTCCAGTAAAGATGGACCAGACAGGAAAGCAAGGGGGTGGCGCATCATGCCATGGGCACCCTTCTGCTCACCGGGGCCCAGACATCTCGACGCGGTTGAAGGACAGAGTAAAAGTACAGGCAGATTCTGGAAGAACACCTGCTGAAGACTTAAAACTGGAACAGAAAGTCACCAAAATCGCATCGCAGTGGATTAAGAGTAAGAAAATGAAGAGTCTGGTAAAAGTCCCGACTTGAAACCTGTTGACAATCTGTAGAAACTCGAAAAACTGCTGCCCATGAGTAATACTCTTAACACCTTGCAAGAGTTTGAGCAAATCACGTGCTGTTTGATCATTGCTCTCAGAAGTGCTCCCAGAAAAATGTTGGGGTCATAGAGCTGAATACTTATGCAAGCAACACATTGTATCTCTGTAGTTATTGCAGCCATTTGCTGCAATTTATCTTCCCTTATAAGTCTTCTGTTTGAGTTTTTAGGTTTTTAAATAGAATATAAAGTAAAAAATGTGTATACATCATTTTGTAATTCTACAAAATGGGACACTGTAGGAAGGGTTTTGCAAGATGCTGTACATTTTTTTTCCAGGCCTTTTGAATTGTGTCCACAATCAAACATGGTCTTGTGATGTGCATGGATCACGGTACAAGCCAGAGGAGAGACTTGTACAGTACTTTCCAACTCCAAGACCATTCATGCAAGACGTTGGTTCATCAACACTGATGGGCGACTTATTCAGGACACCCACAACCCTGTCTATACAGACATCTTCCTTCCTCAGTTTCAAGTGTATTCACAAATGCATACTACTACCAACCCAGTCTAAGGGTAAGAGCCCAAACTGTCTCTTGCAAACCACCACTGCATAAAGGTTCTCTTGAATGAACAGATGCTGGTGGTATTTTTTTTTTAGGTGTATGTAGTGTAGCTAAACTGGAATAGCTATAGATGCAGGCAAATATAAAACCTATAGGGAGAGAGAGAGAGCATGATATATATGGTACTTGGAAACGAACAAATCCTTCATCAAGGGCCAAAAAAGACAAAGGTTCCTTACCTGTCAGAACAAATGTTTCAGAAACTGGTTAGTTTTCAAGATTCAGTTTCACAATAATGTAAAACAAACCCCCCCCCCGGTTTGCTCTGGAGGCGAGAATGCATGTCCCTGCAAATGAATGATTTCCATAGACCCTGGAGTTCAGTCTGGGCTGCAGCCCAGGGTCACAGAGAGTGCAAAACAATCTCTTGCTGGGGTGGAGGAACACGGGTTTGTCTGGGGGACAGACTCGAGGAGGAAAAGAACTCCATGAACTGTGACAGCACCTGTTAGCTGGAATAATTATAACTAAGGAATTCGTTTTATGAGTTATTTTTCCCCTTCATTAAGACTACAGATTAATTAATGCCCTTTTTTTGGAAGAAGCACAAAGGTTGATTTTCCATATATCCTTACTTCAGCATTCCAAGGGAATCTGCTTGAATGCCTGCTTGCAGTCCTACACACACCCGTAAGTCTGCAAGTCCTACAGCAGGGAAACTTTAAATGCAAGTGACCCACACACCAAGAGTCACCGTGAGATTACGAAGCGGCCTTGTGTTGTCTGCTTATGACACAAGTACATCTGGAAACGTCAGAAATTGAAAGCAGGGCTTCAGCCAAATCGAGTTAATACAGAAAATAAAGGAGGCTCCTATTTTCAGATGGGTGGATTAATTTCTAACGAGGATTTTGTACAAACTGTTCCTGGTTTCACATAACATCACTTTATTAGCCCTATACAATTTCTTGCATTAGGAATTTGTCTTTTCACATACCCCAGCTGGCTCTCCATGAGACACACAGACGGCGCCCCTGGAGCAGTTGGGGTGAAGGGCCTTGCTCAGGGGCCCGAGGGAGTAGGATTCCTCTGCCGGCCGCGGGATTTGAACTGGCAACCTTCCAGCCACAGGCGCAGATCCTGAGCCACGGAGCCACCGCTCCGCTAATATGTGGCTTCCCATATCGAACTACAGGATTTTTCCATACCTCAGTGCGAAGGTAATAAAAAAAGATGTTCCTGTAACCTCTGTAAGGTGCTGAGAACATGCGGTCCAGGGGTAACGGGCAGGGGAGAGGGACAGGACAGGTCTCAGCAGGACAGATCCCTCCTTTTGGCTACGAAAGTAGTTTCACTAAACTTCCTAAGGGGGGGAAAAACGCTAATAGTAGGTTTTGATAAAAGGATTTGCATTTAAGGAAAATGACACATGAAAACATTTTGAGGAAGAAAGATTTTGTTTTTCCCTCCAAATCATAAAAATATGCAAACAGGTGTAATTTGACTATACAGAAAGAAGGCACACCCACCTGCCAACCGAGTCGCATCCTCCCTATGCCAGAGCCCCGTAATAAACCCGGTCAGTGGGGGGTGGGTTCTGCTGCACTCTCCTACGGATGGCGTTTCGAAACATTAATCATGAACACACACAGCGCTTGGCTGGCGAGCTTGCCCGTGATGCAGGAACAGAAGAAGCAGCATCAGCTATTTGGTTTGAAGTAAACTTTATTGACCACCTCCAAAAAATATAACAGAGAAAATGTTGAAACCCTTGCCCCCCAAAATTCCCGATTTCCCTCCCCTGTTAGCAATGAAGTAAGGAGTGTGAAAGCGTGCGGAGAACAGTTTCAAGCGGTGTGTATTGGTGTGTGTCCCATCGCCTCGTCGGACTCATCCCCCAGGCCGGCGAGGCCGACGCAGGCTTCTTCTCCGCAGGGAGTTTAGAGTTTCTAACTGGCTGCCTCCTACTGAAGCGCCGGACCCCAGACAGAAGTATCTCTCGCTCCGGGAGAGCGGCGCGCAACACATACCCACCGGGGCTGCGGGCGTCTCCGGCGTGAGCCGACGCCAGCGCGCGTCCTTCCTGTCCCGCCGGGCCGTCCGCAGCACACCGCTGCACCGCGCCGCACCGCGCAGGAGTAAATCCGATAGCTTCACTGTTAACCGATGGACCTTGTCCAAAAAAGGTGGGCTTGATTGTACAACACAGTTTCTCCTGGAGGCTGACGGGGGGAGAGGGAGCCGTTTGGATTAAAACTGGTTAGTGCTCTGTATTGCCAGCTCCCCCCCACCACCACCACCACAGCGAAAACAAGAACAAAAAAAAGATATACATGAGAAAATATTTTTCCCTGCTTGCTTAGAAAATTGTTCACACAATCAATATTAATGGATTTAGATCCATTCTGGTAGTAACTCTATAAACATACAGACCTAGGAACGGCCCACACGGTAACTGGCGCATCAGTGTTAGTCACACGCGCTTCAGGAAAATAAAGTTGGAAGCACAGTATTTCACTTGCTATGGCAAATACAGGCGCGTGTTCGTTCCCCGGAGTTCACGTCCGCTCCTGCCAAAGCTCTGGGGCTCCGCAGCTCAAGCCCCCCCGAGAGGAGTCCCGCACTCCAGGAAAGCAGCGATCAAGAGCGTGCGGGCATCTTCCGAAACCTTAACCAGCCATCGTCTCAACAATATGACAAAAACAGTGATTTCCATTACAAAAGAAAAAGAAACGACTCCAAAAAAAAAAAGCATCTGAAAAATTGTCTTCGGAAAAGATGCAACGATCAAGAAGTACCTTCGGCCTACTGCGCATGGAAATGCTTTACATTAAACGGCAATTTCAACAATATTGACCAGCACGGTTGTGAGTCCATAATAATCAAGAATGCTGAACCGCCACCAGAGAGGAAACGTGTTCTGATATGAAATCTGCAGATTTCACACCTTGGAGTAAACAGTCGGATGGCCTAGTGAATTCTCCCTTCTCTCTAGTGTCAACTGAGTGAATCCAGACGGCGCTGGACTCTCGGCAATTGCGCAAGACGTTTCATACGATCAGTTCTGTTTGAGTTGTATAACCTAAAGCAGTACTGGACGCTAGGAGTGAGTCTTCCTTTTCCTACATCACCACAACGAAGAGAGTGAAACAACCTAAGAGGCCAGATTGCAACCCAGCAAACCTGCAGTTCTTAGAGGTGTAAGGAAGCCATGACCCAAGAGTGCAGAGCACTGTGAGAGCTTGAAAGAGATGACAGAACGGCACTCCGTGAGATGTACATCATCTTACTCTTGACTCCATTGTTCAACAACACGATCTTCAAAACTGCTTTCGAACCTGCACACCGACAAGTTGCGACTCCAGACCCCATGCCACACGTCCCAAGATCCTTTATTCATAGGACTGCGCCCTTCACTCTATCTGTACTTTTCTGGGCTGTGCTAATCCACTTCAGGAAAACATCCAACCCTGAGCTGCACAAAAGCACAGCCACCTACCAGAGAATCACAGCAAATTCTCAAAGTCTCACAATACCCGTCTCGGAGAAGAAAACGAATGTGGAGTCAAATTTGATCAAACGGCTGTTAACAAGATAGCTTATTCTGAAACTACACAATGCAGTCATGCAAGAAAAACTGGAAATAACCACACCGCTAGCAACAGAGCTCAAAACCCTGCACGAAATGCTTTGTTAAATGTGCAAAAAAGCTCTTGCATATTCCTAACAGCTCAGTGTCTGGGAAAATAAAACCCACAAACGTCACATGTGCCACTCGGAAAACCAGCTGGGCGAAGGAGCACACTGGAACTGCCATCGCCATTAATGGCCAAGATTAGGAAAAAAAGCAATATTGACATAGAAAATACATTCGTGCTTGCAATTGTGTAGAAGGGTTTAATTTGCGTGAAACGGTACCTTTGAAAAAATGCTTTCAAGTCTATGTCAGATGAATGTACCTTTTTTTAAACTCATTTGAGCAGAACTGTAATCTAATTAAAAGGAGAATGCTAACTGCAGACACCAATGAAAAAGTAGCTGAAAATATGGGGGTCTTGTTACTGCTGGCATATATATATATACACACATCTTTAAGAGTCGCCAATTATATTTTCTGACATACACCCACCCGGTCTGGAATCGTTCATGTTGTAAGCCTTTTGTTTCTGGCTGGAATTCCTGTATTTCATAAGAAGACTGAGGATCGGCAGACCGGCACATCCTGCTTTCACCTCTTGACACTATACAAGGTCCACAGTGCCTTACTGTGTGAAAAGGAGTACTGCGTATATAAGGTTACATAGAATTATTTTTACATTTCTAAACGCACAATGTTGAGATGTGGTCACACCCTTATTTGAAAATATATGCTACTGTTTTCAAGTCATTTGGTAGCAAAACATCATCCTCTGAAAGGTCAACTGGATTGCCACTGGGCGTTACTGGAAGCAGAACAGAACTACAGCACCCAGTATCACTTCACCAGAAGGAACGTCAGGTTGTTCTAAGGTGCAGGATTATTGACTTGACAACCTGACAACTACAGCAACAGTGACAAATAATCCACAAGGCATCTGCGTTCGCAGGACCCCACCTGGCTGCAAACTGACTTCACACCAAGGTGACAGTCCAGCTTCAGACTCGATGACCGAAACGTAGAACCCGGTGTTTTTGTTTGGTGAGCACAGGCTCCAGTAAAACATTTATGATATGAATGGAAGATCACGTCACACAGGTCATGCAGCCTGCAGGACTAGCAGTGATTGTGTGTGGAGGTGTGGTCAAATACACCTCAAGAGCACTTCAAGAACCTGCGAAGTGGCCGCACAAAGGGCTTCCTCTGGGTTATTAAGTGATCACATCACACTGATTGCAGGAACGTGAACAGATTTGCACCGTGTGAATTCAGACGCATCTGCAACTGCTAAAAAACAAACTAAACATCTCTTGCTCATACACAACCAAAATAATGACCTACATTTTGTCCACAGCTTAGTGCTCTTAAGAAGGCAAGGTTTAAGCTAACCACTGTCAGCCATTCTCCACTCAGCTAAGCAAACTGCAGTACTATTTGTTCAACACTATATACATCACAAAGCTCACCAGAGCAATTTTCTGCATGATTCATTTTAATACTTAGAAGACAATATTAGGGGATCTTTTTTGAGCTAAATGTGTCTCATTCCAATTCGAGAAACCTTTGCAACTGTTCTTGGAAGCAGTCCAGTGTGAAATACGCCGGGCTTCAGAACTGCTCCGGTTATTTCGGCAGTGTGTTAGAGCTGTCACAGAAAAACTCGAAAAGCCCATTCTTGAAGAAAAATACTGATCACAAAAGCTTGTTTTAAGATTACACACATGATCACGTTTGTGACATCTCAACAGGGAATCTGTCAGTTTTACAAAATAAACTGCCTCTCCTAGTTCATTAAACACAAAATGGTCAAAGGGAATTAAATGTACGCACACAGGCAGTCTTTTGTACACAAGAGGGCTGGGCAATCAGGTGGAAGAACAGGTGAAGCCTTCCAAAAATCAGGATGTTCTCACAAGTGTTTTACATTCAGGGTGTTTTTTTTGGAAGGTTTGATTAAACACTTCGAAATCCAAACATAACACCATTTTTTAAATGCGGCAGATCCACTGGGATTTCTTCTGCATTTCCTTCCCTCTCAGGACAACGAAATGGAGATGGATCCTTTTCAGATGGTGTCAGCGTGGGGATGGTGGTCCGTCTATAATGGCAGGGTATCAAACACCAGGGCAGAGGAAAGAGACTCCACAGCCAGTCTCTTGAGGGCTCAGATCTTAATGTGGTTCATTCTAATCCACAGCTCTCACATTCCCGAAGACAGAAAAATCAGACTAACGATTCACTAATAAACTTAAAACTAGCGCCACCTACGGTAGACACCACAGCCTTTTTGTTAACATTTGTTAATTCTAGCAGGGTCGGAAACACCAACTCACATCTCTATTTAGAGGACCTGTGTCATGAATACCTAAGGCAAAAATAAAATACAGGATTATTTAAAATACTGTTGAAAATGTAACACTGTGCTTGAATCAAATAATACCTTTCGCCAGTTTTGGGTTTTATTTCCTGCCCAATGAAAGGTTAATGTTTTTGCTTTGGTAATCATCCGATTTAGTCAGGAGGCTTAGTACAGTTTGACTCAAAGAATATGAAAATACTGCGTGGTACGGAACACATTTTTTTCCCCACTGAATGTGGTTCCCTGTGTTTCCATATGAAGATCACCTGCACAGGTGCACCTTGCAGTTTGACATGCTTATGAAAACTGCCATACGCAAGCATAATCGAAGTGCTTTGTTAGCTATCCCTACCCGCGAATGATCCAAAGGTAATGTGTGGATCTGATCAGCCCGCCATGGTGAAACCTTGCCTTTGAAGAAACACAGCCTCAGCAACTGCTTGTCTGAGCAACAAAAAGGCTTTGCATCATAACACTCATGGAGTTAGCATGACTGTCATACATCTCTCTACGTCCCACTCGCCTTCTGACTCTTGCCCTCTTGAACGGCCCGTTTTATACAATGAATACACGAAATACAACGAAAAAGAAAAAAGAAATACGCCTGTGACCAGCGCTAACGAAAGGGAAAGGGCAGCCTGCCACTCCAACACTACCCCACTGCAGACAGGTAAGCACTTTCTTCATGCATTCAGCATGAATTAGCGAGGGAATAAGAAGAAATTACTAATAAAACCAAAAACAGGCTCCTAGAGTCAGGATTTCAGTTATCCCAACTGCAAAAAACCGTGAAGGTTGAAACTTCACATAGGGCGCCAGCTGCATTAAAGCTATACACAGCCTTTTCGGATATAAGCGAGAATGCTTTTTTGGATCAGACATGCAAATCACCTTTAGGCTGCGAATAAAGTTTATTTAATAGGATATGTGATGTGTTGTGACGCGTACTCCACGGCTAAGCGACTCCCCAGCTTCCCGGCGACGCTGGGCGAGCAGGCTGGCTCCGCCGGAGCAGTGCAAGGACAGAGCTTTGGCAAGGCAACACGACGGCCTCTCTGCTGGGAGCCCGGCCACACACGGACGCCAGCGTGCGACCGCGGCTCACATGGACTCGAACTCGTCGATGCGCTGCTTGGTGTTGCCTTGGCGGATCTGCCGCAGGGTCTTGTATTTGTCCCGGCCCGCCTTCACGTTCTCGGCGTGCAGCACGTCGTTCTGCGTCTTCTTGGTGTCGTCTCGCGCCTGGGCCAGCTCCGAACTCAGGGCCTGCGAGCGAGGGGAGAGGAGGCGCGAGGACGGTCAGGAACGACAGGAGGGTCCGCGGCCTCTCCGGCCCGTCTGGTAGTTAGCAGCCGCAGTGCTTGCAAACCCCCCAGTTACGGGAATGAGTTTCTTACCCTGATATCCTTATTTCATCAAAATACAGTCTTTTCTTTAATAAAGAGTTTATGTCTACCGGTGCAATAATGGTATATGAAGCAGGAGAAAAGAAAAAATAAGAATCAGTGTGTGAAACAATACACGAACCCCTAGTTTAATTAGCGTAATTAAGGGGATAGTTCGAATCAGGCAGTTAACAAGGACTGAGAACGGGCAGCCCCGTCCGATATAACGGTCAGATGCTTTTGAGTCTGGTCACTCAGCCAATAAAAGCCAGTGAAAACACATCAGGCTAGGAGGCCTGGGGACCTCCGAAAAAGGGTCATAAGAGTCTTAAGTCTGGAGAGCGCTACAAAACCATTTTGAAACATTTGGGACGGGTTGTCCCCCAGAGATCTCCCCGGAAAATCCTCCAAGAACCCCAGGGTAACATCAGAGGATCTGCCTGCCTTTCCGGCTGTGGCTAAAGTTAATGTTCATGCCTCAGCCCTCAGGGGAAGACTAACCAGGATTGGTCTTCATGGCCGGTACAGCCAAGAAGAAACTCTCTAAACCTGGTTGATCCACACAACTACTGGAAGACGGATGATAACTCCTCACACTTATACAGCGTTTTTCTGGACACTCCACTCAAAGTGCTTTACAGGTAATGGGGATCCCCTCCACCCCCACCAGTGTGTAGCCCCACCTGGATGATGCACCAGTCCGCTCCCCACACACCAGCTCTCAGTGGGGAGGAGAACAGAGTGATGAAGCCAGTTCAGAGATGGGGGTTATTAGGAGCCCATGATTGGTAAAGACCAGGGGGGAATTTGGCCAGGATGCCAGGGTAACAACCCTAATTTTCGAGAAACGCCCTGGGATTTTTAATGACCACAGAGAGTCAGGACCCCAGTTTTACATCTCATCCGAAGGACAGTGGCTTTTTACAGTATAGTGTCCCCGTCACTATACTGGGACGTTAGGACCCACACAGACTGCAGCGTGAGCGCCATTTTGCATTTTGTATCGGCCATGTCGACTTAGACCCCAATGAAATGATATGGCAGGACCTAAAGTGCGCTGGTTTTGCGAGGAAACCCTGAAATATCACAGACTTCAAGTAGGAAGGATGGGACAAAAACCCTAAAACTCTGATGTGCGAGACTGATAGTCACAGGAGACCTTGAATTCGATCGCTGCTCAAGGAGTTGCCACAAGTTACCAGAAGTGTTCACCTAGGTATCAGACATTTAGTGTTGAATCATTTTGTTAAACAATCACAGATGTCTGTGTTTTACATTTTATCTTGCCCATTTCATTTTTATGAAGACATTCACAAACATCTAATTAACTCTGAGGGATAAAATGCACAAGAAGAGAATGCAGACCCCCCCCCAAGGGGGTTCACATTTTCTGAGAAATCACACCCAGACGTGTGATTCTTAAAAAAAGTGTGAGGGGGGTGGTATCAACTCAAACAGCAAAAGCTGGATAACTTGTCCCACAGTCCCACGTGGGAGGAGGAACTAGGCTCTGACATGTATTTCAGACCAGTGAAAGGCCGAAGACGGACACAAGAAATGGAAATGGTACCCATACCAGTCGGAGGAATGAACCAAGCTAACTGGCACGGGGTGAGAGAGCTGCTGGGTATGTTTCCAGAGGGCTAGGGGGAACCTGAAGGTGCTCTTTCCGGCAGGTCTGTGGCGGGCTGACCTGCAGCTGCTTCTTGACGCGCTCGTTCTTCTGCGCCTCGGTGAGGCGCTCCTCCTCGCTGCGGTGGTTGGCGACGCCGTCGCTGGAGAG